TGATCCCTCTCCAGCTGAATTCCTGAGAGGAGACGAAATCCAGGTCTCCTACTCCTCCGCCATCTTGCTCCGCCCCCCATGAAGTATGTCTTGAAGTGTGTCCTCATATGAGGCCCAAAGAGGCTAACAGTACCCAGTGACATTAATTTCTAATTTCTTGCATCCTATAAGTGAGTCCACTAATATTCAAGTTCTGCAGCAGGATAGCAGAGTTCTTGGTGTACTCTTTTTCAGTTAGAACTTCTTAGGCAGAAGGCCCTATATTTTATTCAAATTGTATAAAATGATAGTTTATATTTATAATGATAATGCAAAGTACTTCATAACTTTCTGATTCATTATGGCAATCTAAATTATGTTCATTAGAGTTTTGGTATTAAGTGAATTTAATTGCATTATGAATCTCTTAACACTGATAACTGATTGCTATATATAGCAACTACAAAGAGTCCAAAATATTACACTAATTTAAATATCCCATTTATGAACTATTCCAAATAACAGCAGTTTAATTGAATTTAGTGTTAGTACAGATTTGTAAATAGGCTGGAGCAAAAGTTTTTATCAGTATGCATTTGTTATTATGTTAATGACAATACTTTGCAACATATTTTGATTTGAGTTTGTATCAAATTAAGATTTCCTAAAATTTAACAATAAATGAAAGAAGAACCCAGCTACTTTGGAGGAGTAGTAAATGGTGTACTCCTAATGTTAACGAATGCTCTTTCAAGTGGAAATCATGTGGTCTTGTTCTCTTTGACTCATAGAAGATCATAGATGTAGGGCAAAACTTATGTAAAATATTATCACTGGTTCATTGATACCTTAATCACAGGATATATTTTTGTATGAAAAAAACCTTTAGAAACCATTGTTTCTAAGTTAAGTAGATGCATTGGGCATTCCAGATCTTACCAGTTTATGACCGTGTTCTTGTTTTCTTTGCAGAATTTTTCCGAGAGCTCCTGGAGAATGCAGAGAAGTCACTGAATGATATGTTTGTACGGACCTATGGAATGCTGTACATGCAGAATTCAGAAGTGTTCCAGGACCTTTTCACGGAGCTGAAAAGATATTATACTGGGGGCAATGTAAATCTGGAGGAGATGCTCAATGACTTCTGGGCTCGGCTCCTGGAACGGATGTTCCAGCTGATAAACCCACAGTATCACTTCAGCGAGGACTACCTGGAATGTGTGAGCAAATACACAGACCAGCTGAAGCCCTTTGGAGATGTACCCCGGAAACTGAAAATTCAGGTCACCCGCGCCTTCATTGCTGCCCGGACTTTTGTCCAGGGGCTAACTGTGGGCAGAGAAGTTGCAAACCGAGTTTCCAAGGTAATTGAAAATCTGCTCTCTTTCTAATTGGTTTTCCTCGTTTGCTCTGTTTTTAAACAACCGTTAAAAAAAAAAAAAAAAATCAAGGTGAAAGTTCTCCCTTACAGCAGTCCTTGCTCTTAGAGAAATCAGATAAATGTCAAGGTTTAATTTTTTTTTTTTTCTTTTTCCTTACTTTGTGTGAGAGAAGACAAGATTTCAATCCATTCCATGTTTGGAACATAATGTCAATATTTATCAGCGATATAGTAGAGAAGCTTTTTATCAAGAACGGTGCGGAAACAGGTGTTTTGTAACCATGACCACTTGGCACTTGTGATCAGAGTTTTCAGAACGATAAATAGTCATGAAACAGTCCATCCGGAGGTTTATAATCCTCGAGGAAGTCACAAGGCGATAGTCTTCCTGAGGTCTGCAAGTAGAGACAAGCTGCTGTTCAGGACACCAGCTCCTGGCATTTCTTCTTCTTTATCACTCTTGTGAAAGTGGCCAAATTCCTTAGTAGTGGAGGAAGATCCCTTTGCTAACACCTGTAGAACTGGATTAGGGAGGAATAAGGAATACAAAGTATAGATTCTGGCGGAGAATTCCTTTTGTTATCCATTAGCTTTGTAATTCAATGCCATGTATTGCATTGGGCTTAAAAGCAAGATAAATCGCTAATATACGTCATGCCTTTCCTTGAGGATGTCTCTAAACCTTTAATGCAAGGGGTCTTTCTCCACTGCTTGCTTTAAACATAGACTGTTTCCTGTGTATAGGATATTTGCCTCATGTTTAAATTCTTCCTTGACATTCAACTGTTCTTATGAGTTGGGCCTGCCCAATTATGAGGTCAACCCAACAAATAAACTGAAAGATGGTTTACTCTAAGAGGCAAAGTAAAAACAATAGCTAACAGGAATCTGGTATTATGTGGCCTAAAAAGGTCATATTTGTACAAAGATTAATGACAAAAACTACTTTCTTATTGCAGGGGTGTGACAAAGAGCCACATAGTTCTCATAACTATTGGTACCATCCTACCATGTTTCTTTTTTCTTCACTTTGATGTCCTCAGTATTTACATCTTGCATAAAAACTGTGTATACCCTTAAAAAATGTTTCTCCATGGCACTATTTATAAATTTCATAGCAATCCATTTTTAAATTACCTGTTCCTACCGAGTTTATGTGAGCATATGGAAAGACTATTTTCAAGAAGGCTCTAAAAAGGTAATCACATGGGACTTAATAATATAAAGGACATATGATTCTGATGTAAAAATCAATGTTTTTTTTTTTAATTGAAAATCAACAATATTCTAGATACCAAAGGAACTAGAGCCCCAAAAGTGGATTAATAAGGAATGAGCCGGGTGGAATAGCAAGAGGAAATGTGGTCATCTGGGAAAATCTGTAAAATATAGAGAAGTACAAGAAATATATATGTATCCCATATATTCTTGAACAGATAGCTTTTTTGTAAAAAAAAAAAAAAAATCGGTAACTTTAGTTACAGTGGCTTCATATTGAAGTCTTTGCTTTTGTTGAAGAATGAAACACAACCAGCTTTTAAAACACAAGGTAAGAAATTCAAAGCAGGGACTGATGTATGCAACATCCTTGATTGTTTACTTGGATTCTGGCTGAGTGTGAATAATGTTTAGAAGTATATATTTTGGCCTGGGGACGTGCTGGTGTGGTAAGAGAGTGTTTTCTAGCAAAGTATTTAAAAAGCCTCAGGGGAGGCTGCTGCCGATTCTCAGAAGGTGGCATTAACAACTGCCCAGAACTGGCACCTCCCTTTTAATCATTCCCTGACTGTTCAGTGGGAGGTCCTTGTATATCAAAATCGAATCTACTAGTCTTTCTGGCGTGGAGGTTGACATCATGCAACATCCACCAATAGAGTATGACTTTTCATTTTTTTTCCAAGCATGATGAGGAGGAACACTGAGATCATGCTTCTCCTGATCCTTGCATGGTCAACATTCATTTGCTGAGCAATTGCTGTGGATTTGTGATGTCGTTTGTGGTATGGAATCATGGAATGTTGACTGTTCTGTGCAGATATTGGCTTGTCTGGCCTGAGTTTCATGAGCCCTAATCTACACAAATCATAAATCCCATGCTGACATCTGGGCCCCACCTTCTAGTAGAAAGATAAATAGAAAGAGAGAGAGATACAGATAGAGATATGTGGTTTAAAAGAGGCTGAGAATTTTTTTTTTCTAAAATACTTTATGACTCAGGGAGTTAAGCATTTTTATCAATGAACTTTCTCACCTAATGATTACCAGATGGTCTATAGCTGACTAAACCAGAAATAGATCTACTAGGATTATTAGTGTGCTGATAATTTTCAGCACCCAAAGTATTTTTTTGTAATAAGAATAAAATATTACAGGGCTAAATATATAAAAAGGAGAAGCAAGAATGGTGTTGGAGGTATAAGCCCTTCATAAATCTGAAACCTCCCTGTGGTCCATTACTTGAGTGGTTTAGAGTTGGTGAAATGATTGCAGAAGAGGGAAGGAATTCAAGGCAGAATTCCCAACTGGAGATCAACAAACTAGGTTATCTCCTGCGTCTTGGTTTGGAGAATACTTTTTTTCTTTCAGTTTCTCTTTTCTCTTTCAGTGGCTTCTTAAATCTTGGGGAAGATGTCGTTAATAGCTTCTAATTAAGTGTTTTGACTGGAAAATTTATCTCTTTGGCAAAACACAGCCATTTGACACAAATGTTTTGACATGATATCATAGGGCATTTTCTTACCAGAAAAATGGAGGAATACTTTGTAGGTATCAACACAATTATTTTTTAAATTTATCTTTGCCACCTTATAGATAAAAGCCTTGTCTTCCTCTAGGCACTGAATGGAGCTACTTAATTTTAAGTAACTGTAACTGGAGATCTGGTTCTTAGAAGTATTAAATGGTTTGGAGTATCTGTGGTCAATTAGCCAGGATTCATTTTCTCTTTGAATGACTATTTTTTTCTGAGTACCAGGTGTTGACAAAATAAGATTTGGTAACTTGTATCCTTTATTGGTGGAAGGATAAATGGACATGTTCACTTTGGATAGCAATTGGAAAATAACTACTGTTGAACAAGTGCATATCCTAAAGCTGCCGTTCTACCCCTGGAGTGGACCAGGGAGGCATGTACACGCATGTACAGGTAGATATGTGAAAGAATTTTAACAGCAGCACTGTTTGCAATAACATGAAAAGTAAAAAGATCACAAACGTTCCATCTGTGTACATCATGAGCTCTTTACACCCTGAAATCCTATGGGGCATTGAAAATAAGTGAACTATAGCCACACTCGTGGATGAATCACAGAAACCTCCTTTTGAGAGAAAAAAAATCACCAAAGCATACAGACAATCTATATAAAATTCAAATAATGTAAAATGAAGCAATGCAGTATTTAAGAATAAAAATACATGTGAGAAAAAAATTTTAAATTGTAAACACAAACATCAGATGGTCATTACCTTTGGGGGTTAGGTTTGGAGATTTTATAAAGGAGAGATATACAGGGGTTTCTAAAGTTATTGATAACATACTGTTTCTTAAGCTCTGGGCTGTGTGTGTGGTCGGGAGTGGATTTAAAACCATTTTAATGAAAAATATTCAAGTGGAGAAAGACTTTGCCATCGTTCCTCTCTGATTCTCTTCATCTGCACAGATATGATCAAGTCCCTGAGCTGTCCTCATGAGTTTTTCAGATTTACTGCTGTCTGTGACTTGTTAACCATTCACTTTCCATGCCCCATACTGTGCTGAATAATATCAGGTAAGCATGGAAGGCAAAGCTCTCAAATGAAGATAAAAGCAAATTTTGATAATGTGGTCACCTGGAGAGAAAGAATCTACACTATTCTTTAGCATTGTCCCTTTATTAAAATACCACTCTCATTCCCTTATATATACCCATTCGTGACTGAGAACATGGATTGCAGCTTGTCAAACACTGTGAAACACACAGACAGAGGCCTGCATAAAGAGGTGTTAACAGGTTGTCTACTTAGACCAAGCTTCAGCTGTTTATCATGAAGGCAATATAGAAATGACTCTCGTGTCTGCACTGGCCTGTCTTGATGCCATTTAAAAAAAGAAGACATGACTTTCCTATCTTTCTGCTTTAATAAAAGTGACTTCTATGGGTAAACACTGTAAATTATGTCAATACAACTACATCAACTATGCAAGTCATTTCAATGACTCATTCCAGACAGTTTGGGTAAATAGTAGAGCTGAGATCCAGAGAACTTGCACTATTGCCGAAGACTGTCATGGATCTTTTTTTCTGTCTTTCTGTCTATGTATCCATCTGTCCACCTATTCATCCAGCCATTAACCTAAAATCCTTCTTTCTTGTGGATCATGACTTTGAAAAGAAAGTCTGGCTTTTAGTCTTTAGGAAGACCAGAATATTTTCATCAGTAGACACCTGCCATATCTACTACACAGACTGTCGTTTTTGCATGAAGAGCCTCTTAGCTGGTTCATCCACCTGAGTAAACAGCTTTGCATTAACAATGCAATGCCTAGAAAGCAGTAAACAGAGAGTCAATTTTCAATAAATGTGGTTGATGGACTATAAGGCTGAAAAAATTTATCATCAAATTTGATGAAATGAAGTCTATGAAATCCATCCATTGACAGCATTCTCTGATCACAATGGAAAACTATTCTGAAGAATTTACCATGGATGTAATTTACAAGAGAAATGGTATTCTATTTAGCTGTTTGTTTTGGGGAAAGAATTTATGATATAAAGTAAGACCACCTGTTGTAGCTATCACCTGACTCATTTGTCTTGTGCCTTTTATGGTGATCTCTTAATTGGAGTTAACTTCTTTGGAGTCATCCAGAAATGAAAAGGACCACTGAAAGGTCTTAGGTGAATGAAACCTTTTTATAGTTCTTCTGTGGTTAGTGTATTTTCTTCTGTAATCGATGATTATTCAATGTAGGTTACTTCAGTAATTTACAGTGTTAGGAAGGAT